TTACTAGGGCTACCTGTTCTAATGGTCATCCAAACACGTCCTTATTGATATACACGACCAGTCAAAAGTTTGGACACCCCTTCTCATTATATCTTTTTTTTTTTTCATTTTTACTACTTTCTCCATTTTAGATACATACTGAAGACATTAAATGAAGCAAGATATATGGAATTATGTAGCAAAGAAAAAAATGATAAATAACTCTAAATATGTTTTATATTTGAGATTCCTGAAAATAGCCACCCTTTGCTTGGTTGGCAGTGCTGCAAACCCTTGGCCTTCTGTCAATGAGCTTCATGATGTAGTCATCTGAAATCATTTTCACTTCATGGGTGTGCCTTATCAGGGTTCATTTGTGGACTTTCTTGCCTTCTCAATGGGGCTGGGACAATCAGTTGTGTTGTGCAGAAGTTGGGTTGGTACACAGCTGACAGCCCTATTTGACAATTGTTAGAATTCATATTATGGCAAGAACCAATCAGCTAAGTAAAAAGAAACAACAGTCCATCATTACTTTAGGAACTGAATGTCAGTTACTCTTGAAAATTGCTAAAACTTTGAATGTGTCCCCAAGTGCAGTCACCAAACCATCGAGCGCTATGACGAAACTCACATGAGGACCGCCCCAGAAAAGGACGACAAAGAGTAAGCTCTGCTGCTGAAGATAAATTGCTGAGTCACCAGCCTCAGAAATTGCAAATTAACAGCACCTCAGATTAGAGCCCAGATAAACGCCACACAGAGTTTCAGTGGCAGACACATCTCTACATCAACTATTCAGAGGAGACTGAATCAGGCCTTCATGATCAAATAGCTGCTAAGAAACCACTACTAAGGCAAAGCAACAAGCAGAAGAGATCTGAGAATGGAATCTACAATATGTCATGGAACGTAAGAAAAAACATTAAATGAGAAGGTGTGTCCGAACTTTTGACTGGTAGTGTATATCAAGGTGTCAGAACCTATCATTAAGGATACAGGGGACCTTGTAAAATGTCATCTTTAAGAATCCAGCATAAATATTGCTTTAAAAACCCTTAATATAGACCCAGAATCCAAGTATATTGTAAACACGTGGTCGTAGTTGGCATCTTCACCTGTGTGGGCACTACTGAAGAAGTATGGCATTTACTTAAAGTAAAGCAGGAAGTGTAGTGACAAGACTCCAGAGAAACCCAGAGAGAGAGAGTCCATATGTGGTGAACAGACATTGCGAAAGTGATTCAGCCTGGGTTTGACATCAAGCTTGTTCTTTCTTTGATGAATAAAGAAAATGTGGCAGGATTTTGGACATTATGTTCAAAGAACAAAATTTGTCAGTCACCATCTTGTCAGCTATAGTATGAAGCACTGTCTTGTATTACGCTGCTCTGTCTAGGAGCCAGGCCAAAATGTTTGGAAGTATCTTTCGCCTGGCCCAACTTTGGCTGGGAAACTCTTAAGGTTCTTTGTTATTTGAAAACTTTAAGTTGGTGCATAAAAAGTATGTTCTGGCATGCTCTTCTTTAAGTTTTGTTTCATAAGTAAGAGCGACTTAATAGTCTGTCTAGAGATGCTTCCATGTGTCTAATTGCTTTTAAAGTCTGCCAACTCCTGCAGAGGTGAGATGCTTGGTGGACAAACTAAGAGTCTTCCTGTCTTCAGTTGGACTAGTTCCTTGGGTGAGTAATGAACATTTCCTGAAGGTTACTTTTAGACTGCTGAATAGCTTGCACAGGACCGGTTGGAAAGTTCTGAATAAACATTTGGGTTGATCTTTTACTTTTCCATTGACCATAGGATGTAGAGCAAATGGTGCTTTGGTACAATCTCTTAGAGCTGATCATACCTTATAGCAGTAGCGCAAAGATTATGTGAGGTGCCTTTGAGATAAGCGTACAAGTTTTGTGCTTATCTCATGGACTCTCATGGACATTAGTGAGCTGAGGTTCTTAGAAAATGTTGCATTAACCACTGTATTCCAATATTTAATAGTAGCTTGATTACTGTACCAATTTCTGTGTTTATGTAACCACATATACACCTTCAGGTAGAGTGCTGACTGACAAAACAGGTGATAAATAGAAACGGAGCCTTACATTTATTTTACATGTATGTGTATATAGGCCTATATTAACCAAACAGTACATTAGGTATATCTGTTCTACTAGTAATTAATGTAAATATCTTATAAATATCTTATAAATGTACCAAAATCTCAGAGGGGTGTTGCCATCACCTTGTTGAATCTACACCATAAAGAATTAAGGCAGTTCTAAAGCCAAAAAGAGGTCCAACCCAGTGCTAGCAACATCTTCCCAATAAAGTGTCCAGTGAGTCAACATTTGCAGTAATTTTGTTCTTGTAATAATTAAAAAGGAAATGAAGGAGGAAATGGTCCACTCTTTGTCTGTAAACTGTGATAGTTGTTATTCTGAGTTGGGAGTGATTCACTGGAAACAAAGTGTGTGTCTGTGTGTGCATATAGGTGTGTGCGATTTAGAGGTTGAGATAAACAGTGAGTGTCCGTGTGTGGTTGTCTGTCTGTGTGTCGTTCTATTAGTGCAGTGGGAAGGTGGAGGGAGGGGAAGGGGAACTCACCACTATATAATCTAATAGGATTTTCTTCCCATCTATCCACAGAAAATACAATTACAAAGCTGTAATGGGTAGCATTCTCAAATTTCTCTCGCAAATGATTTTTTTCTTTTACTACTCTCCTCTGTGCATACCAGTGGCGAAATATTAAGCCCAATACATCCTTTCACGTAAAACATGCCCATGTGTTATAGCCCATCTTGTGAGACTCCAGGGGTGGGGGCACCAGATCGACTTCCGACCTTCCACCATAATATGGTTTAACAAAAGAGGCTGATGTCATGTTGCTTGGCAACCAGCAAGGAGAATCTGCAGAATCACTCTTGATTTACTGGTCATTAAAACAGGCAAACTGAAGGCCTAACTCCACTTGTTGCTGTGAGTGAAGATGCCAGTTTCAACCTTTGGCTACATTTCATATTAAGCTGGCATTTTCTAATAAAATACATTTCATATTAAGTTAAATGTTTGTTTGTTTTTTAAAGAAAAGGAATCTTGACATTTGCCATTTACAGTTAAAAAAATTGTGATGTTCTGAGAGCAACGTTAGGAATAATTTATTTATAAACAGCTATTAAGAGCTAAACAATTATTTTGAGTGTCAAAGGAACCAAATCTTTACCATAGTGTAGTTACTGGGTGTGGCCCAAAGTAATAATCACATAATCATTATTAGACAGAATGGCAGGAATAATCAGCACTTTGCCATCAGCCTCTTGTTTACTTCCCACAGGGTTAGGCAGCCACAGTAGGCAAAATCAATGTTGGACTATAATGAATATTTGGACTGTCTTTAATAATTAATAAAATGTTCCACACACTTAAGATGCTAATAGTTTCCGGCAGAAGCCACAAAGCACTCTCAAAAAGCAGATTCTAGTTTCTTTCATTGATGTTTTCTGAAACTGCATTTAAATGAAAATATCATCAACTTGTAGTGTACATATTTTAAGTTGTGAAGCTTACTTCTTGGCAACAACGGGCTAAAAAACTTTAAAAAAAAAGCTTTGCAAGCCACTCGATCGCTCAAGATTGTTTTCTGATATTCATAAATCCATAATTGCTTTCAATATCCCAATAAATACAAAACATTAAGATGTCCAATTTACAGTTAGAGTTCTTATTACATCTTGCATTTGCGAGAGATCATGATAGCTTCACCATTTTACCGGTCCTCAAGTAACATAGATGTTGATCGTGGTTCAGTAATTGTCAGCACTGTTAATGTTCTACAGCCTATTACTGTAAAAGCTGATGCTTAATGCCTTTGAATCATCATTGCACTTTAGAGCAGTTTTTCAAGATGAAATACTCTCATGCAACTGAAAAGTACTCATCAGCTTCATTCAACTGGCAAGCCTGATGACAGTGACAACAGTAAATAAATACAAATAAAATTAAACCAAAATAGGCAACTGGCTTTCATAAATTTCAACATTAAAGATTTTGTTAACTCAATTTTGATAGGTAAGCACTCACTGTAGGTGTGGTTTGACTTTCTCACTTTGCAACTTTCAGATGTTTACATAAAATATAGCCCAACAATACAAATTTAAAACTTATTTAAACAAGATCTCTTTGAGATATAGTATGATTAATCTGCCTTGTACCACCAGACATGAAAAAAAAAGCCTCTCACAGACAGTATTGTTTTCAGCTAGATTATTTAAGTGCCTCAGTTCACTAGCACAAATGGTTTCCTCTCATTATGAGAGGAAACCATTTGTGTCATGAGATTGGTGAACTGGTTACGTTTGAACGAGACATGTTAATATGCATTAATGTGTCGATCAGTCAACAAGTAAAAGGTTTACTCCATGACCAACCTTGCATGCCCCCCTCCTTATTTGCATATTGAAGGACAAGAAATGAATACAGAAGTACATAAATAAATGCAATCAAAAATGATTCCTCACCCTCAATAAACACGAAGCAATAATTCTGAGTAAAATGCAACAGAAATATACAAAATCAACATTTTATTTATTCAAATAATTAATCATGGAAATTAATAATGAAAGAAAATGTGCCTAAAATAAACTGAATGTATAAACTTAATGTATACCAGTCAATTTATGGAAAATTGACATGTAATTAAATTAGTTAAAGTCAGCGTTTTAAGCTGAACTTTTGTTTTGTTTTGTTTTTTGAGTTGTGGAAACATGCACTATTAAATTACAAAGAAAGAAAATAAAGAAAGAAAATAATACAAATGTAAATATAGCTGGATGCAAAAAATAAGAACACAGAAATTTTGGGGGAATAGTGAATAAATAAATAGAGGAATGAACACAAATGGATACAGAACCAAAATAAATGATAAATATCAATTTATATCACATTATATAAAATAATTATTACATACAAATAGTTTTAATATTACTTTTGCTACATAATACAAGGAATTTAATATATTTTTTAAGTCATTTATTTTTTTTTCATTCTGACAGTTTTATTCCCCCATAAAACAAACAAAGTGTATGTTCTCTGCTCATAAGATAAACATGCATCTTGTTGTGGTCATTGCTGTTCTTACTGGTCATTTTATTTAGGAATTGCTATATATGGCTCAGCCATATTGTCCCCCCCCTCCAATTTTAGAGTACAACGACAAAGTCATTCTAGAATCTCAAAAATATAAGGGCTGTAGATGGGTAAACAAAGCATATTACACATAACAAAAGTAAATAAAAATGAAAGTAGTTCTTAACAAACACATTTGAATGGACAAAAGGCAGAAAGTAGTACACTGCTATTCCAGGAAATACTGTGAATGATAAGAAGACAAATGTTATAATCTAATGCAATCAAATCGTCTCACTGAATAGCTTTTCCCATAATCCCCTTCCAGTTCCACCCTCACACTCCACTTAAACAGTCATGAATTAAATAATGCCGCTCATACTTTACTTTCCGTGATAAAATAAATGAATGTTGTAGGCATACTTGACTTAAATGTAATCTTTATTCCTTTAGCTTTTCAGTGAAATAGGTTATAGCATTGTCTTGCATGCAGGTAATTTATACACTACAAGCATTATGCATATAAATGATGGGAGTTGTTAAAGTCTTTGTAATCAAAACATTCTTGCATTATGCATACAGTATACCTTTATGTTGAACGTTTTAATTACATGCAGAATGTAATTACATGAATGGATTTATACTTTTATAACACAGAACGAGAAAAGTTTATGAAACAGTTTAGGATGGATGTGATTGGATGTGTGAATAACTGAAAAAATGAACACAATATAAAATGTAAACAGAAGTAGGAAATAGCTTAGGACATGGGAGATGTGAAAAGCCATATCCTTGAGGTCATTCAGAATATTGTGAGCCATATTTCACTTGGCTTAGACAAAAAACATAAAAAGATTTAATGGTGCACTCTGAGAAAACTTTTTACATAAAATAAAACAACACCCCACCCCTTTTACAGTTATAATTTACAAAAATGTCCATTGAAGATTATGTAAAAACAGCTTAACAGAAGGGACATGTAATGACAACAGTATCCATGTGTCTCAGAAATAAGAATTTCCAACCATATTTAAGTTTTTTATAAACAATTGCAATTTTCACCTTATAGCTCCTATTGGATGCATCAAACCCCTGTTGGCCAAATACAACAACATATGGAGAATGATTTGAAAAATGATTTAACAGTGTACAAAGTATTTTTCAAGGGTTACTGATCTGACACTGATAATCAAATATAATCAGCAAACTTCTTTGTGATTTGTTTCGATTGAAGGGTAAGTTTCTGTATTGTAATAAAAAAGCAGCCTTACCAAGGCTTCTTTGCATCTGGTGGACAAATCATGGCGCACACTCTAGCATGTATAATCACTGACAATGTCTCTAGGATTTGAAGTACTATTAGTGACAAGCAAAAATAACCTTAAAGCAGTGCATTTCTGTGTAAAGCCTATACCTGAAGATACAACCCTTTCTGAAGAGTAAAAAAATGTATAAAAAGACAATTAACCAAACTATGATTTTTTTTTTTCAGCAATAGCATATAACTCTCCTTTTTTCCTGCTTGAAAAATTAAGTTGAGTAATACACCAATCAGTGATATAACAACAATTCAAGACACTGGGTAGCAGAACTAGCTGCAATACAAGTAAAGCAGTAACTAATATGCCTTTCAGAACACTAAGTAATGTCGTCTCACCTCACAAGCAGACATAATGGATCTTTGCTCTTCAATTCATCCAAGTGAGTCATACTGTCATACTGTAGCCTGAATGGCTCTTTTCTATTTTAGAAACTCTCCTCTAGACTCAAGCAAGCACAGTCAGTTTGGCATAGTAGATATCCATACTATAGAAGAGAATCCACTGGATGTCTTAGTCACTGTGGAAGGTTGTAAACATTTTGCATTCACTACATTGTCTTTGGTGTAGCACAGATTTCCTTTACATATCTTGTTCTTTGACATCTTTGCTCACAACCTCCTTTTCACTTTTGTCTTTTTCATATTTGTTTTTTCCATTTGTTGTCACACTGTTACATGAAGGTTGAGAGGCAGCAGAAGGTGTCAGTTTGCTTTTATTGGCACTAGACGTGTTTTTAAGTTTGTCTGTGTCATGCTTTCCCTTGTTAATGAGCTTTTTATCCTTTTGATTGTTAATATTGGATGTGTCATGGGACCTTCTGTCTTTTCCTGGACACTTCCTTGTATAATGCCTGAATGCTCTCTGGATGACAGCAGCTGAAACCTCCTCCTGTTTGCGACGGAGGGTGGTAGTGATGGGTTCGTAGGACAACTTGGAAGGATTTGAGGCCATGAAACGCTCTTCCATTTGCTCCTTTAGAATGTCCATTTCTCCACCCTCACCTAGAACACGCTTTGTGAATGCAAACAGGATGTCTAGGCAGTGAATGCGGTCACCACTCACAATCGGTAAGTCCATAGAGATCAGGTCAAACTTGTTAGGCTTGGCTATGCGCAATGGTGGTTCCAGATTATCTGCAAATTCTGAAAGCATTTTATACTCAATGAACTGTGTTGCATGAGGATCAAACCTTTCCCAGACCTCATAAAACATTTCAAAATCATCCTCACTCAGTGGGTCAGCGCTCTCTTCAGTAGCTACACCAAAGTTTTCCAGGATGACTGCAATGTACATATTCACCACAATAAGGAAACAGATGATGATGTAGCTCACAAAGAAAGTAATTCCCAGTGTAGGATTTCCACAGTTTCCTTTAAAATTACTACCAGGATTCTCCATCTCAGGGTCACAGTCATCTTCATTTTTGTTGAGAATGGGATATAGTAGGGTATCCCATCCACCTGAGGTGGTGATTTGGAACAGACAGATCATGCTGTTTGCAAAAGTCTCAAAATTGAAAAGATCATCAATACCTCTTTCCTTCTTGACATATGCAAAGTTTGACATGGCAAAGATCGCATAGATGAACATCACCAAGAACAGCAAGAGACCAATGTTGAACAAGGCAGGAAGTGACATCATCAAGGCAAACAAGAGTGTGCGTATTCCTTTGGCACTTTTAATAAGGCGGAGGACGCGGCCAATCCGTGCCAGTCGGATGACTCTGAACAAGGTTGGTGAAAGAAAGTATTTTTCTATTATTTCGGAGAGAAACAAACCTAAAGAAAGAAATGAAAAGATTAAACACTGGATGACAGATTACTGCAATATTAAAAACGTATCAGAGAGAAACTGTAAATGGAGGTGAGTCATACCGATGATTGACAGAATAACAACGATGAAATCAAATATATTCCAGCCATTCATGAAAAAGTAGTGCCGGAGTGAGAGCATCTTTAATATGCACTCTCCAGTGAAGACGACAATGAATATCACATTTACATAGTAGAGGACGTTTTTCTTGTAGTCTGATTGTTCATCAGTTTCCACCATCATAGTGATCATATTAAGCGATATTAGAACCATGATCACAATATCAAATGATTGCTTGGTGGTAAAATCGAAGATGTATCCTTGAATCTTGTTCTAAAACAGACATGCATAGGAAAAATAAACAACAATAAATTTTGGATTAAATAAAAGTGAGGGTTTTAATTCATACTGAATGCATTCAAGGCTTGAGTTACATACCGATGGTCTAGGGATCGGTTTTTGTGGTTTTTTTGACCCCAGTTTTTTCATGGCATTGTAGTATTTCTTTTGTTCTTCAGTCATAAAGATGTCTTGACCTCCGAAGTAAAGAAAGCATGATAGACATGTTGAATCACAACAACATGTTGGAAGCCAAAATACCACAAATTTGTTTAAAAAGCAGATTTGATACTTATCTTTTTCTTTTGCTGATTGAAGTTGTCTATAATGACACCAATGAAGAGATTGAGTGTGAAAAATGCTCCAAATATGATGAAAACAACAAAATAACAGTACATATATAGGTTGTTCTCATAGTCTGGTTGTTCTTCTGGCTACATAGATGACAGAAAAAACGAGACATTAAAACAGAGTCATCCTTTGAATTTCTGTACTGGTTGAGTTCATGTGTGCCTCATGAGGAGTGGCCCTACTTGTGTGGCATTTAGATTACCGTAAAGCCCACCCCCCAAAATAATTTTGTTCAAATAAAAAGGACTTCAAAGCCTGATGCAGTTTGTCACCTTCAAACTTTGATCTAACAGCTAACTGGACTATTTTATCTTTACCAAGATTATGATCTGTAAATACATTTTAAGCATTTTGATCATGATTAAGCAGCAACAGCAGGAAATGTTTGGTATGCATCAGGTGTAGTGTTCCACAGCTTTAACGTGGCCAAACAAAATAGGATAATCTAAAATTAATTTAACAGTGCTATATGTTTTTCGTGAACAACGTGTCATCTCCACAAAAAAGAAGGTGTAATATGATTTAATTAAACATGGATATTTTATAGGAGTTCAAGCATTTCAACACTGAAATACTAAAAAAATCACCACCTTGCTTTGAGAATCAACAGCAGCATACATGATGTCCATCCAACCCTTAAATGTAGCCTGTAGAAAAGAATACAGCAAGTGGCATTAAAAACACATATTGTTGTATTACAAAACTGGCACAAAATGTGACACTAATTATGAAACACAATACTGAGTTACTTACCACTTGCAACAGTGCAAGGTAACCCATGCCAACATTATCAAAGTTGACCTTGACGTTCTTCACCTTAGAATCCGTGAAATTACACTCTTTCATATGTTTCACTTCTGATGCAGTAAACGGCTCATTTGTGGTTGTGTTGACACAATAGTAGAACTTTCCCGCAAATAAGTTGACCCCCATGATGCTGAAAATGAGCCAGAAGATGAGGCATACCAGCAGCACATTGAAGATAGAGGGAATGGCTCCCAATAGGGCATTGACAACCACCTGCACACACAAATCATGACATATCTGTAAAGCTGACAGGGATCACAGAATCTTAAAGTGATGTACCACACTGTATACTCTGGCAATGGGGAAAAACAAATGTGTGCCAACATGCATATTGACATCACACCTCATCACAGCTATGACTAACGCCAAAGATCCAACACAACTACATGGTAAAGGTGGAAACAGAATCAGGAGAGGAGTCAGCAGATGAGTTTTACATTTTAGATAAACATTGAAATGAACACCTGGTAGAGAAAGGAGGATGCCGCAAAATTTGATTACTGTAAAAAGAAAAATACATAAAACATAAAGAAAATCATGTTACATACGCAACAAACAATATCAAAACAGCGATACTGGCATGGAAGCTATTATGGCACTACTGACGCACATGAGAATTTGTGCATGCAAATCAGGGAATACTCTGGCTACCACGTGAGGAAAGATGATCACTGTAGCAGTGCTGTAAATCTAGACCACCACAATATGAAGGCAACTAATCAATACCTGCCTTATTGATTTCAGCAGCCAACAAAGCTGTCTCTTCAGTTACATAAGTTATCAACCTGATAAGACCATGCTTGCATAGCACGGCAAAAAACTCTAATGCCGTTAGATATCACAAGAGAAAAGTGATATAAGAATAATTTGATATTTTGGTATTTATTTATTTTTTGTTTCTTAAGAGTTAGAGTAGCACTTTATTTGACTTTATTTATTTCACAGCTGTTGTTTTTATTTATTTAAGTTCTTTGTACCTTCGAGGGACAGGATTTTATTTTTTGTGTTGTATTACTTTTGATTTTGAATTGATTTATTTTCATTAATAGATGTTGTGTATTAGCTCTGTAAAAAACAAACAAATTTCTTGAGTCAATGAAAACAAATTTACAATATTAAAAACAGCATTTTTTTTACTTATGAAAAGCACTATATAATGGGGTTGTATTCTCAGCAAGAAATTCCCGCAATGTCAAACTATTCCTTTTATCAAAATTCTGCATCACTGGTGTATATTTGAGGAAAAAAGTGATTTTTTTTCAACTTGTAGAACAAAATACTTAAGCTTACCAGGATGACAAATGAAGGCAGGAGAAAGGGAATTGGGGGAAGACAGGAATGGTTGCATGCAACAAATTTTATTTTTTATTGTTGAATCTGTGCTACAATAATTAAGCAATTTCTGATGGCAAAAAGGTGGCCCATCTAGAGCTAACAAGCTGTACCTAATGAAGTGGAAGTGTTCTGCACTAGTATATTGAGCTAGTGCTAGACAGCATGACTCTGAATGGATAAGTACTTTCAACAACTCTTACCCTCATGCCCTCAAAGCGTGACAGGGCTCTCAGTGGCCTCAGAGCTCTTAGAGTTCTCAGAGACTTGATGGCACCAAGTTCATTAGCACCTAATGCGTTGGCTACCAGACTGACCAGTGAGACCTAGAACACATGCAACACATGTCATGAGCAAAGAAGAAATATTACACACATTAATCAAAGACAGTGCAGTTTCATTCTACGTCTCAACACAACAAAGAACAGATTCAGCACTGTGTAAGCAGAGTTTCAACCTACATCAACAATTAGGAAGTCCAACCAGCACCAGGCATTTGTAAAATACTTGGCAAATCCATATGCCACCCACTTCAGTAACATCTCCAGAATAAAGATGTAGGTGAAAATTTTGTCTGCATACTCCAAAACTGTTTTAATAGTCTTCCTTTGCTCAATGTAGATATCCTCAAATGCCTAAATGTGTGGAAAAAGACAACCTTTAGTAATGCCAAACGTGCACATAATGAAATTTCCGTTTGAGAATCTATTGCTTGATGAGAGATCCTAGATAAAATATCTCACATAAATCCACAAAAGAAACCAAATTAGTCATCCAAATGCAACATTTGCTTTCTTCGTGTAAATACTTACAAGGGCCCCACTGCTAAGCAGGATCATGAAGATAATAAAGCTCTCAAACCAGTTGTGCTCCACTATCCGATAACAGGTTTTTCGTAGTGTCCACCATGTCTTCCACCAGCCCACATCTACATTTACTTGACAACAACGGAATGTCTGCACACAGGCTGAAAAAAGACAATGGGCAGATGGGGTTTTAGTCATGGAAAATGCAGATTCAAATTACATTTAAGGTTAGGTAGGTGGTGAATTCACCAGCAGGGAAACAGGGATCGGGCTCCATAGTGTCTTCTAATTCAAAGTCTACGGAAATTGCTCCCTCTCCAGCTGGAAGACCATCCACTGTGCTTCCCTCTGAAGAGCTGAACTGTCCATCATCATCATCATCTTCAACGATCTGTTTATGAGAGAATGTGGATGAAAAAGAAGTGTTGGGTGAACAAATACAACAGAGCTATTGAGCAGCACTATTTTCACACAGAAATAGTTATAACATATGATGGTTAAATTAAAGCAGATATATGATCACACACAAACACATGCAAAACTTTAGCCAAAACAACAAACTATTAGTGTGTTGACTCCAAAGAACAGTTGAGTGGTTCTCAAGAGCAAAGGCACCAAGAAGTCTGCATTTCCTGCTCAGTTCCATATTACTGGAGGAAGAGCACAGATAGATAGATAGATAGATAGATAGATAGATAGATAGATAGATAGATAGATAGATAGATAGATAGATAGATAGATAGATAGATAGATAGATAGA